TTAGTTGGCACATAGCAATAGTACTGACTTACAGCTGGCTCTCTGCATGTCCTGGCTGCTGTGTGGGCAGGGTGCAGGGCAGCAGGTAAGCAGCAGCTGCTATCTATTGATCCCTTCATTGGCTGTCCCAGCCCAAACCAGGCCAGCTCTGCCTTGGCGTGTCTCCCATGGCTCGCTAGCTGCAATTGCTGCACTCTGGCACGTGGGGGCTTTGGCACATTGCTGCGTACAGTGAGGCACAAGGAGGATGATGATCTGTCTCTGCATGCTGTCATCGGGCTTTCCCCACTCCTGAGCCAGACGGGGGAAGTGAAGTCAGCAGACAACAAAAGGCTGGAGCAGTGTGAGCACGGGGTGTTTCATCAAGTCTTCCTTTCTTCCCTCTGATGGAGGTGTCATGTTTTGTTCTGCCTCTGATTCATTGCTTGTTGCCCAGTATAGCTCAGTCCTTCCTGGAAATCTCCAGCCTGGGAAATCAGAGGAAATCCTTATTTAGATCCCACCTCCATTAACCCTGGCAAAGGGGTTCTCCCAGTCAGCGTCACACAGATGCAGCAGGTGGAGGCAGCAACAAGGGCTACTTGGGAAAAGCAAGTGACAAGTCTTCCCGGCAGCGAGGGCTCCTCAGGAAAAGCACATGGCAAGGTTTTCCCCAGCCCTGCTGCTGCTTCCTTACATCCCATCTAAACCTCCCCTGGGAGGTGGTGGGGTGGCTGATCATGTCCTGGACTGAGGGTGGGTGCAAGCTGTGTTCACCTGCATACTGCTTTTTCCTCCTGCTGGGTCCCTGCCTGCACCTTGCAAACCACCAATGCTGCACCTTGCAAACCACCAATGCTGCACCTGTGACCCTTAGCATCCGCTGCCCTTTCCACCTCACCTCTGCCACATGAGATAGTGGCTGTCTGAGGACCTTTGTTACCACTTGCAGCAGTGACTGACTGAGTCTCACGGTATGCAGCTTGTTTGGAAGCTTGATGAATTACCATCATCACTGCTAACTTAGAGCACAGTTGTACCCATCCCAGCCCTCTGGCACCTTCAGGAGCCACATCTCACATCCTGCTCCTCCCTGTCCCAGAAGCAAGGAGCAGCTAGGTGGTGGCAAACGTGCTGTGACGCTTTGACCACAGGACCTCCAGCAGAGTGGAAGTCTGGTGTGGGAGCTGGCTGAGAGACAGAAGTGTGGGATCCTCTTGATGATGTTATGGGGAGTCTCCCCCAGCCCAGGGACAGCACATCTCACCCAGGGCAGCTGATTCAGCAGCTGTGCTATCAGCATGGAGCATTTCCTAGAGATTTCAGAACAGAGGGGGAGATGGAGCTAACCCC